TAAATTAGGAGTATTGATGTATGTAGAATTCTGGAAGGCGCTCGGTTAACGCCCCTAAACCGTGTCCGAAGGGAGGGAGAGGAAGAGGAGAGGAGAGATAGGAGGGAAGTAGGTAGGTAATGGAAAAGAGGGTGGATGCGGGGAGGGGGTGCTGCTGAGCTTATGCTCGGTTAGCGCCCCCAAACCATGCCCGTAGGAAGAGGAGAGGGAAGGAGGGGGGATGTGTAGGGAGGCTGGAGGAGGAGAAAAGAGGGCAGACGTGGGGAGGGGGGGTTGCTGGGCTGTTTTGCAATATTAACATTTAAATTTATAATACTAAAGTTGTATTAATGTATGTTTATATTTGTAAGTGGGGGGGATATTTTAAAATTGATATCTGGGCTGAGTTGCCTCTTACTCTTCTGGAATGTACCCCCTCCCTTCTGGGGATCCACCTCTTCATCACATTCCACTATATGATTGATCAATATCATAGGTTTCTCCCTAAACTGGTTGAGAGTAAATGCGATATAACTCAATTTTTCCTTTGCTTTCCTTTGGATTCTTCTCTACTCTGTTGGCAGATCTTGAAGACTTAGAAAAAAAGGGGTTCTAACAGCAAAAAGTAACTTTTGCTTTATCCTCGTGCCTTCCAGTTGCCAAAGGTTTTAGTATTTAAAGATTGTGCAACTGAAACAAATGTACTTTTTTTAAACTAAGAAAAAGCTTGTGAGTGGTAGCTCAGACATTCTCAGTCAAGTTCCTAAATAGCTTTTTTTCTATATTTTGTTGACGCAGCTACTTGATAAAGTACTGTGATAAGTTCTGGAAACAGAAAAGGTGGACATTTTTGCACAAAACGTATGTTAATTTGAATTTAATATGAACATAACACCTGTATTATGTGAGAATGCATATTCCATGTCTCTCTGCATTCTATTCACCATTAATAATAATATTCATATGTCATGTAGACAAATTGTACAAGGCTCAAGAGGCCACTTATGGCCATGGTTATGGAAATACTGATGAAGCATATGAGTGTTGAAGTGTGCTAAGCCAAGAAAAAGCACTCTGCAAGTATTCAAGCAAAGATTCATGCTGTCAATTAAAAATTAATACTTACACTTGATTCAATGGTCCAGAACAGATAATAAGTGCTAGTAGGCTTGTGCTGGGGAATGCCTCATTGCACTTAAAAGTTAAACATCTTGGTTTGATCTCTCACTTTAGAGATTTGAAAATCATAGCAACGATTACATTGGCACCCCAGGTTTGTGTCAGCAGACTGCATACGACTCCTAAGTGATGAGATGTATCTCTAAATTAAAGATCGTAGATTGTACAAAATAGGCTAAGTCTGACTTTGGTTGTAGTACGGGCTAAGATGTGTCAAAATTGACTGGTGTCATCTTTTCCGTTATCATAGAATAGAATCTGTATCTTGTGTCATGGATATAACAAAGGCTGATAACTAGTCTATTCTTTCTCTTTCTTACTAAAAAGTATTTCAGTATGCAAAAACCCAAGCCCTAATGGGTGCTAGAGGCCAGTATCTATCAGTTGATGGCTATAGCATAAGACTATGGTGAGGAATGAGGAAGGAAGAAAGGAAAGGAAAGGAAAGGAAGGATTGTTGTGTACCTGTGAAACTAAGAAAGGGAAAGGATATAATAGAACTAAACGAAAGAGTCTGATTTTATGAAGTGAAACTGATTAATACATGCAGAGAAGTTGAACTGTGAATAAAAGAGCTAGAGTGTACAGTATATCAGAAAATGTCATCCAGGTGTTGTGGCTATGTATGCAAGTAGAAATTCATAGGTTGGTGATAGTTTCACCTTATTCTCTAGTGAATGGAGCTAACAGAAGAACTATATTGATCCAATTCAGGGGGAAATTGTTCTGTTAAATGACATAAAAGGATGGGTGGGAACGAGAAAAGAACAAAGTGATTGGGCCATTTGGAGACCCAGGAATAAATGAGAATGGCTGCTGAGGACCTGAGAATGGTTTGAGAATCTGCTCAGAAAAAGTTGTTGGTTTCAGTTATGAGGTTTAAGCAAAAAAAGAAAATTATAGTATTCATACAAGCACATAATGAAATACTATATATAGTAATCTAAAAGTATTATTGATTTGGTTACGATGAAGGATTCATAGAATGAAAACGAAGTTATAAATGTTGGGAAAATGTTGAAGAATGGAAAGCTTCCTTCATGGATGGTGTAACTGTAGGAATATTAAAACATGGGTGTAATTTGTTTCCTTAGTTTATTTAATGTGCCTTGCAAACGTTTGGCACAGTTCTCATTAATTCTGTGCGAAAGGTAACAGTAAACTGTATTTGGGAAAGCAGCCTGGCTTTATGCCGGGCAGATGTGCAGCCAGATTTTGGTACTTCAGCAAGTCATTTAGAATATGAGGGGGGAAATGGTATTATCTGCCGATTTAGACAGAGCACTTATAAAGTGAATAAGTATGAATAAAGGAATGCTTTGTCCAAATATGGAGTTGGTTCAGTTGTTGAATGCAATTCATGTACAATGGAAATGCAGCATGTGTCTGAATGAAATGCTTATTGAATGGTTCAGCACTCAGCAGGACGACAAAGGCATATGATGCCTTCCTGGTTGTTTAATGTATAAATGGATTCATGTAAATGGATGTTTGTGGTGATGTTAGAGGTATGTCCCTTGGAGATATGAACATATGCACACCTCCATGATTATGTGTTTTTAACTGAGAACCCAAATCTTGGCTTTTCCAAATGCTTCTCCCCTTCCTCCCCCATCAGACAACATTCTGAATGAGTGGTGGTGACCGGGCCGGGCAGTGGGGTGGACTGGGGGGTGCGGTGTCCTTGGCTGGCTGGCTGATTAGGCCCCCGCCTCCCAGGAAGCTCCTCATGGGCAGAGAACGTGGGCTGAGTGGTCGCCCTGGGTCCTCTCCTTGGGGTGGGAGTTGAGGATGCTGCCGGTGGGGTCCCTGCAGGCCATTGAGAGGCTGGATGCAAGGAGACCCTCTTGGGGAAGAGGTGGGGCTGAAGCTGAGAGGGGTCTTTACGGATCCACACAGAGATGGGGCTTACTGTCTTCCAGAGTCGAAATGCCAGAAGTTCCATCTCGCTGGGTGGTTGGTTCTTGAGAAAGAATGAGAAGTTCCCCCCCCAGAGATCCAGACGGTGCCCCTCTGTGGGTGGTCTTGAAGACCCCCAAATCCTGGCTCTGCTTCCAGACCAGTGGAGCCGATTGGATTTTGATGACTCTCAGTGGCAGGATTTTTCCTGTTGCCTGCTCTTTGCTATTGCTTAGGATTTGGGGGGATATTGTAAGGCGAGAGTCTTCTGGAAGGGGTGGCCATAATGATGTGGGTGCTCCATCACTAGAGCCTGGACAGCCACTTGTCCAGAATGGTATATAGGATCTCCTGCTTGAGCAAGGGGTTGGACTAGAAGACCTCCAAGGTCCCTTCCAACTCTGTTATTTTATTCTATTCTACTACCTCTTTTTTTGTACATTGGGCCAATCTTCTGCAAGCCTGTGGCTTAGGCAAATAGTGGTGCCCTCACTTTTATTTAAATTATTATTATTCAATGGTCTTCCATGGGTATTTTATTTCCACCCCCCCCCCCCTTCTGCTGCTAACAATTTAAGCAGGACAAATTAAAAACAAAGAGATGTGTTTACATCCTTTCTGAAATACAAAATAAATGGAATTGAGTCTTTAAACTGCATACAGAAATCCTGTAATTATAAGATTACGGTATATATAAAAAGCTTCACATTTGTGATGTAGGAGAACATCGTTTTTTCCCACCTATTCAGGAATAGTCTCCTTCTATGTTGGGGAAATCTGCTAAAGAAAGAAGGCTTCGCTGGGGTTGATCTTTGATATATCTTAATATCTTGATCCCAGAAATGATTTCAAAAAGAGTTGGCAATCAGTGCAAATCTTTCCATATTGGACTTGGATCCGAATACTAGACATCACCCCTAGTTTAATGGGATCCGAATACTAGACACCACCCCTAGTTTAATGGGTGCATTTTGCATCAGTTGAAGCTTGTTGAAGCATTGCAATTGACCAGCAGAGAGCACATGTAATGACTAAAGACTGGGTTGATCATTTAAATTTCAAAGGAAAATGAGAAAAGGGGGAAAAAAATCAGCTATATTTGAAAACGTCCACAAGGAATAAAGAACATAAATATTTTGCATTGATTAAACTTAATATTTGTTAAGATGGATGCTCTAAATTTGTTTCATGGAATAAATTAGACAACCTAATGCTCTTTATAATAATAGCAGCCAATTTTAATCTGTTTTGACAAAACTATCTCACAGAAGACACTTCCCGACGGCTAATTTAATCAAACCCCCGTCTTTCTCCTATGGGATTCCCCCCACCCTTCCATTTAGCAGTAATTATTTTTAGCGACTATTTTAAGGCAACCTTATCCAAGTGATACTCTCAGATATGCTGAATTTTAATTTTCACCATTCCTAGTCATAAAGTCATGCTAGCTAGGAATTTCGTGAAATGATTCTGGAGACCGCTGGAGAGAAAAGAAAGAGAAAAACACACTGAAGTCAAACTCAACTCCTGCATCCATGCAGTTTCACCGGCAACTGAGATTTGACGCAGCCTGCGGAGTGTTTTTGATATCACGCCCGTACACACACTCCAATGTTAACCCTATTTTTCTATTTATTATCTGCAAAGTCATTTTGATTCCCCATGTAAGGAATATTGTCCTCCTGGAGAAAGGCAAGATACCAACCAAAATAACTAGGTCATCTTCTACCCCACCCCTGAACATATTAGAAATGTGTAAGAAGAGTGTCTAACATGTGGGAAGTGCCCCAGAATTTAGAATGCCCGAATGAAGCATCACCAAAGGATAACTTTAAAGAACAGATGATAGATGCATTGTAATAATTAATCATTTTAAAACAAAAAAAGGACGAGAAATTTAATAGCAAGCAGAAATGAAAGACTGACCGATTTTTTTAATTTAAAAAAGCCAAACATTTAATTACATACAGAATAGCATTCACTAGTGAGCTTAAGTGATCTGATTTAGACATGAAAATAGGACACTTTTTGCAATTGCATTCTAATAATACACTCCCTCTTCCAAAAAAAAATCCAAAGCAAAAGAAAATTGAAATTTACATCATCTTATAATTAAAATTAGCTAAAATCTCATCCTACCTCAAGTATGACAAGGGTTTGCATGTATACAGTAGAATGGATAACACAGTGGTTTCTTAAAAGTTGCCCACTCCCTTGGAATGCCTGTTCATAACAAATACTTCAGAAACTTCCCTGAGCTTTGAGTGAGTAACTGAATATAGATGATGCTCACCTGTTTTCACTATTAAATATAAGCTTTCACCTGGATGCAGCTAACTGATTTGGGCTGAAAAATCACTACATGGCAGCTAAGGGCGAGGTTTATGGTGGCTGCTGCCTTTCCCTAACATCTATTGTAGCACTCCCCAACCTTTTTGGCACCAGGGACTGGTTTCATGGAAGACAACTTTTCCATGGGCCCGGAGGGGGGGTATTGTTTTGGTTTCACTCACTCGCCCACTACTCACCTCTAGCTGTGCAACCCAGTTCCTAACAAGCCATGGACCGGTACTGGTCCATAGCCCAGGGATTGGGGACCCCTGATTTATTGGTCATCCAGGTATTTGTACCCCAGATCTACTTAAACAGAATACCTGAATTTATTGCCCTAATCAAGAGGCTCACAGAGAAGACATCTTGATGAAAGATAAGACAAAACTCTAACAGGTGGGAAACTCTATGTATACAATAAAGTTAACATACTTCATCAAGTCATTTAGTCCCAAAGATTACATGTTGTTCTAGAATGCAAGACTGGGGTGGGAAACATTTGGATTTTTCAAAACGAAACATGTCCCGGGTGCTCTTACTACAAAGTGTCTGTGATGAAGGAGCTTCTCTAGTCACACAGTGGATGCTACTGTGGTGTGACCAATCGCAAGACATACACGTTTGTCAAGACAAAGGAAGTTGCTTTCTGCCATGCCATCAGGACCCCTCTGCTCTCACAATTTCCCTTTCCTTTTCTTATTCTGCATACTTCCATTTCCAAACAGTTTTGATGCAGTCAGCTGTCATTTTTAAAGAATTATAAATAAATAGTTGGGGGAATGGTAGCTATGTCCAAACAGAAGCTGCCCAATTTTAAACCAAAGCAAGCAGGCAAAAACTCCAGAGTGCCTTTGACAAGAAGGCAGCTGTTTTCCAAAACTAGCTATATTGATGAAGAGGTGTGATGTTTTTATAAGAGTCTGAGAATCTAAATAAGATTTGTGCACGTGTCAGGGGTTAAATTTAATTGAATAGGAATGTCCTAGTTTCTGTAGTCCCACCCATTTAGAGATAGATACCACTGGATTGTCTGTTCTTATGTGCCTTATAAGTGGAAGATACCGTATTGCCTTCACCCAACCCAATCATATGAAATACCACATTTTATAGGCAGAAAATGTTCCTTTCTTGAAGAATCCCTGTCCTTTTCCCCATTAAAGTGATTGAACATGGTTTTAATCTTGTTCAGATATTGCTCACCATGTATGGATCACTCCATGTTTTGAACTTGACTCTACAATTGACAGCGTTAACTGTTATGAATGCTTGAGATTGAAGGCAGAAGGCAGTCTATCATATGGAAATATAAAATTTGGCAATATTGTTCAGAATTACACAGATGGCTGATACTTCTTCTTTGCTAGTTTTGCTGATCAGTTGATTTGGGATTGTTCTTGAATACCAGTACTTAGTTTCTCTTGGGTCACACAAGGGGATCATTCTTGAATGGCCATCAAAGCAAAAACATCCTTGCTCGAGTTAGGCATTTAGGTAGAAAGGCTTATACACTGTACTGCTGAATCCCAACCATATATTGATGCCCTTGCTTCTCCCAGGAATATATATTAGGCCCATTTATGACAATAAACACATCAACACATATAGCACAACAATGAGATGCTTGCAAGGAGAATTATTGTATTTATTTTTTTTGGTATTTTGGAAAATGAGAACTTTGCAAGCTCAACGTGTTTGTAAACACAGTTAGAACAATGTCATCCCTGCAGTAACTCTCAACTCAGCAAAGTGTAAACACTTGAATCTCTGATACTATATAATGGGTGATCTGATTCTGCTGCCATTTGCCATTCTTGAGAACCTTAGGTCATCATTTGAATGGAATAATAATGCACATCAGAACAATGATCCACAGGATTAACTACAGATATATTTGCAAAGATAGAAGAGCACCCAACACAACAAATCACCCCGTTTTTGTATCCGTTGTCTTATTTCACACCTCTTCAGCAGCAAGCAAAATACCAATGATGCATATTGGCTGGTATCACAGTGATCCACGAGGGAAGGTGTAGCGTGCTGAACATCGAGGAATTCATTCGGCCGGACAATGCGTTTTTTATTCTTCAAGCAGTTTTCCTAAGGTTCTGATTCCTATTTTTTTTAAAAAAAAATATGTATATAAATTAATACAGCCTTTTGAAGCTTACAGCTTTTGTTTAATTGTTAAACAAACAGTTGAAGCTTATAAAAATAATTTAATGTGTACAATATACATTAGTGAAACAATAAAAATCAAAATAAACATGTCTATGGAGATTCTCAGTCATCCAGGTCATGGTTGTCCCAAGGATGCTTTTTGGCAAGGCAATTGGACTTTCTTGTTTTTCTTTGAAGACATTTCGCTTCTCATCCAAGAAGCTTCTTCAGCTCTGACTAGATGGTGGAGAATAAAAGGATTTATACGCCTTGCAGACAGCTGGTCATTTGCATTGTTTTAGAGTCATTGAGGCCTCCTGGTGGTTTATCTGTGTCATCAGAGTCACCTGAGTAGTGCAAATGGCTGTGGAGCCTTCTTGGAACTATTTCAACCCCCCTAAACACTGCTGAAGATGTTACCTAGCCTGGTAACGAAATGTTCGGAAACCAACCCACAAGCTCGGAGAATGAACCTTCACCCTCATCCTACACCCGAGCTACAGATATTCGCCACTATTACAAAAACAAAAAAGTCCAGTTGCCTTGTGAAAAGGCCTCTTTGGGATCGAAATAAACAATTAAAAAAGCATAATTATGGCAATGGTTTAGCAAAATCATATAACTAAATTTAAAAATATTGAAAATTAAAAATACAACGTAACAAATAGCTGCCAACAAATCAAGCACAGCTCATATTTTAGCCCTTTCTCTTTTTGTTATTTGTTATTTTGCTTTTTGTTCTATTTAATAAAGCACGGTTTCCCGGGTAAACCGAACAGGAAATACAACAAAATGACCTATTCTATTTTATTATAAAGCTACATTAACAAAATCTTGCAACTCTGAAAGTACGTATCTCCTACTGTCTCCTTTACAGCCTGAGAAGCTGAAGAGGTATTCTGAGCCTCTTTCTCCACCCACTGTATAACTGTGGGCTATGCCTCCTCTTATTTGACTGTTCCCTAGGCAGAAGTGCTTTACTCTGTCTCTCAAGATCTTTCTCACATATCATTATAAGCACACACCCTCCAAACCAATTAATCACAAAGTTCTTCTTTAAAAGCCAGCATTGTCGCAATGCTCCCTTAAGAAAATAATCTTTAAAACTGGTCTTGCCACACGAGAAGTCTCGTTTCTAATAAATACATGCTGAATATTCAGCAGAGTGACATAGAGAAAATGTCAGATAAATAAGGGACCACGTAGCCATTTAGCATTTCCCTTCATAAAAATATATATGTAAAATAAGTTCATTTGCCACTAAGTCTCTCTCAAAATTTCAAGGACAGCCAACACAACTATTCCTCTCAGGTTATTTTTCTTCTTATGGAGATTCCAGATCATTTACCTAGACTACAGAGATCTAGTCAGGGAAAAGTTACACTATTTTCCCACTGAGATCAATAAGGTAATAACAAATACCAACAAGAAATATATCTTTTCCATGTGACAAAGGGCCAAATTTATTTGAGAATCTATTAGAATTAACCCTCCTGAAAAAGCCAAATGAAAATCAGCTGAATTACTCAGACATAATTAAGTAGGGCTATTGTGTGTGGATACCCAATATATGGTATCAAAAAAGGTACAGAAAACTTTTAATGCTTTGCTCCCATCTAGTGGCTGTCTGGCTTTTTGCAGCCCAGATATGGCAACCTTTTAATTGTCTTCACTTCTTCATGAATGACAGCCATATATAACTACGGAGGTTCCTGTTTCAGGTTCAGGTGCCTAAAATTGCTTATGCTGCTTCCCTATTTCACGCTGATTACACAAGGTAAAATACATTGAAACACCAAATGCCAACACATTAAACTTTAATTTATAAAGTATTTACCTGTGAGGCCAAATTAGACTTCAAGCAAAGAAATGCAAAGACAGTATTGCTTTCCTTGGATTCAAAAAACGAGTCGTAATCCTAAAAATAAAGAAAGGATTTTTTTAAAGTATACTTTTAAAATGTTCATCCTTCAACACATAAATATATGGTTTTTTGGTCTCTCTCTCTCTCTCTCTCCAGATGTTTTTGATTATTTGCCACAATCCTTTGCCAGTGTAAATTAAATCAGTGTTTCTTTTACCCAGGCAACTTTAAGATGTGTGGATTTCAGCTCCCAGAATTCCCCCAGCCAGCCATACTGATTATGAAATTCTGGGGGTTTATTTATTTATTTATTTATTTATTTATTTATTTATTTACATAAACTTATATGCCGCCCTTCTCCCTATAGGACTCAGGGCGGCTTACAGCATATTAAAACACACAAACGCCATCCCCCATAAAACCAATTAAAAACCAAATATTTGTCGCTGTATAGTTATTAAGATTCGAATTAAAATTGTCCCTATTTGAAGTCCACATGTCTTCAAGTTGCCAAGGTTGAGAGACACTTAGCCATGGATTATAAGAGTTAGTCCAGTACATCATGAAAGTGAGGTATATAGTCAAAATTGCAGTGTGATCAAGCAGTTAAGATATATAAACAAATAACTAATAATGTCCCCCTGGAGATGCAAATGGTGCCCATTTTCCTGAGGTTCTAGAACAGTGGTTCTCAACCTTTTTAATGCCGCGACCCCAACCGGTCGTAAGTCGAGAACTAAACCGATCGTAAGTGGAGGACTAAACCGATCGTAAGTCGAGGACTAACCCGGTCGTAAGTTGAGGACTACCCAACCGGTTGTAAGTCAAGGACTTTCCCTGCCCGGGAGCGCCGTGCATGTGTTGTTCCGCCGCCTGCGCCGGCCAAGGCGTAGCTGGCAAGCAGCAGAGACGGAGCAGGCTGACCACCAGCTGGCCCAGCCCAAGGGAGGTAAGGCACCCGCCGGAAAAGGGGGGAAAAAATGGCGGACAAAAAAAATGGCGGACAGCCTTGCTTGGCGACCCCCATGAAATGGTCGATCGGCCCCAAATGGGGTCCCGACCCACAGGTTGAGAACCACTGTTCTAGAAGACCCTTAAGAATTGGCTCTGTTCCCAGGTCTGGGGTTCATGTGTTTATGTATTTTCAGGGCCCCTGCTATATTTATGTGTGTGTTTGTTTTTATTGTCTTCTGGATTTTGTAGGCCACCTGGAATCCAACAAAGTGCGCGACTATAACATATTTAATAAACTACATTTAGACTTGAAGATAATTCTATTTTGTTCATCCAAAGTATCTGGTAGAAATACGATAGAAGAAGTTGCAGCGTTCCTCACAAGAAAATGTACTGCTTTCCTTATGATATGAAAACACAGGATAAACAATGAATTAAATATTTACTTTCCTTCCTAGTACCACTCCCCCACAGATCAGTACAGATCAAAGGACTATAAATGGCTGCGTAATCTGTTCATCTATTCCACTGTCAGACTGGATATAGAAGTGTAAATAATTAACCACTCAAACTCACTTATAACAAGGTAATTATATATAGATTCATTGCTCATTTATTCCCTGCTTCGCCATTTCACTCAAAGTACCCTGACTTCAGAGGCAGCCCTGGGCCACGCCAACACCTTTGAAACAAGTTCTACAACTGGTTTCAAGGTTGATGTGGAAAAGAAAGCAGAGTTCATGATTTCTGACTGTAATGTCTAACTCTTCAGGCCAAACATGACAAACCAGCATTACTCTGAAGCTCTGCTGAGTGACCTGGATCATTTACTCCCAATTTAGCCAAGGACAGGATGGGATCTCCTGATTTGAAATAACAAAACACAAAGCAAAATCTTAAAACAGGTTTTTAACATGAAAGCTGAAACACCAAAAGCAGGTTCACCAAATCCTGTGCCATCATTTTTATTTTAAATTTATTTTAAAAGAAATCTGATATATCTGTTCTTTGCCCTGAAATCATGATCTGTCAATTTTAAAATCTTTCATATCTGTTTATTACCTATTTATTAATCATATTTGTAGCCCACCCACTACCCTGAGGATCTCACATTTCAGATTACACATGCACAAACAAAAAAGGATCTATTTTAAGTGGGGTAAGGATGAAATGTATTTCTGCAATTTTATTTTATCCATAGCAGGATATAGCTAGTTACTTTTAAAAAATAATAATAATAATAATTTATTTCTATTGTTGTGCTACATCAAGTGGAAGAAAAAAACTTTCCTTGACATAATACTCAAATTTATACGACCCTTGTTTTTTTATTTCTTATTGGCATACAACAGAAAAAAATTCCTCTTCATACCTTTAGAGAACCAGATGCAAAGCCAGTATTTTGCATATATTGTGTCCAATCACCATTATTGCTTACATTTTTCACTAAGTCATATTGATAGCTAATTGTTCTTAGCTAAGTATATGATGTAACTCCATCTATCATGGTTTATAAAACCCAGTTTATTGGTTAGCATATGTAAATTCACTATTTATGGGTAATCTACAATGTCATTTATGTAGCCATGGGTTTGTGTGATGCGTGAACCTGTCAGTATTAGTTCACTACAGCACATTGCTTTTTTCCTCCAAATGAAATAAATCTAAAATGGCTCTCCCCTCATAGCAAACAGCAAGCATCTCATTTTCTTTGTCCATAAGCTTTTTCCCTATTGTAAAAACTATCACAGGTTTGTTTTTAGACAAGCTTCTGAAAGTGAACCTCAAGTTTCAACATGAAAGCGGTTCTCCTCCATTAAGGTTCATCAGGATGAGTACAGCCCACTAACAGTCACTTTCTCTCAAACAACCCAGCTCACAGGGCTGTTGTTGTATGGGGAAAAAAGAAGAAGGAAGGAGTATTATGTACGTTTGCCACCTTAAATTATTTATAAAGTTACAACGGCAGGGCAAAAATCTAATAAAAAATAAATAAACTATTATGACAGTTTCCCATTCTGTCCGATGTTACAGGAAGCGCATAAATTTAATAAATAAAATAAAAATAAATAATCCAAATTAATTGGAGCGATAAGGCTGAAGAAACATACTTATTGCTAAGTTTCTTCTGAATGCCCAGCATTGTTCTATAGCTCTTCTCCTCAGGCCTTCCCTACTATAATTCAGGATGTAATACTGCATTTACTCCTTTCTCACATAAATTAAAGCACTGTCTTAATCATTTTAACCACACTCCTTAAAATCTGGTATTACTGTGGAGAATCTAGTGCATTAATAACATATAATTCAAATTGTGTATGTTGTTGTTTGAAAGGCTTCTTGTACTTTTTAAAAAATAATTAATATCCTGAAATAAAGCAGATTAACTTCTCTTTATCACTCCATTCTAACAGGAAAAACTTGCACTGAATTTCTGCTAGAAAAAAAGAGTTGGATTATAATTCAGCATTATTTGATAGTGATCTTTCTCTCCCTCCTTCCCTCCCTCTCCCTCTTTCTCACACACACACAAACAAGAGGTCCATATGCATTATTCTCTTTCAGGGCCAGAATGTTGTACCATATGCTGACAAAGAGTGAGAAAAGTATTTAACATTAAAGTGAATTAAATATTCAATAAAATATTTAATACATGTAATAAAAGTTAATAAATTCAGCAGAAAAGAGAATAGGAAAGGAAATTAACGATAGTTCACACCAATACCTTTCTCTATACTTTTTCATTCTTTTTCAAATATCTTCACTTTCACACATTGCTTCATAGGTTGCCTTTTATTCTCTATAAACTTTTCATTCCTCTCCCTTTGAGAGAATTTTTATTCAACTACTTTCTTGGTCTTGCCTTTCTTCTCAAACTATTCATTCTTCCTTCATATACTTCTTAAGAAATCAATTCTCTTTGTATGACCAAATCATATACAGTGTAGTACTTTGGTACTCAACTGCTTTGAAACTCATCAAATTTGGTACTCAACACATTTTGACAGAAACTTTTGTCCCGGTATTCATAATTTGATTGGTATTCATCGCACAAACTAAAACTTGTCAGTGTCGGTTGCCTGGTGACTCGGTGCATTATTCCTTATGGGAAAAATCTGTTTGGTACTCATTGCGCCTCTCAGAATCCATTAACGATGAGTACCAAGGTATGACTGTAGATTTCATACTGTTTATCAATTTTTATTCATTCATCAGCCATTCATTTTTGACCTTTTTTATTTTACCACAAGTGTCTCTTAAGTGGTCCATTCCCATTGCACTCAGCTTGCTTTATGTAATTTATATAATATACATCTCTTACTTCCATGTAATAAAGTAGACAGGAGTACACTCTGGTACCCAACAATTTTTGCTTTTAACTTTCATTCCTTGCATCGGACCACATCCTGTTCCTATTATGGCTTACATATCTTAAAATTTCTTTGTCAGCTTGTTCTAATTTTTCATCATTTATGCATAATTTGCATACATCTTCCCTTCTTTCATCTTCCCTATCAAACAGAACCATCCTGATTTCTGTTATATTAATTTTCAGATCCAGGCTGTTTGTGGCATCACACAACCTATTTAACATTAATTATAATTCATTCAGGTTCTCAGCCAACATTATAATTCATTCCTAAACCTGTCATATAAAAAATCCCCCAAAACTGAAATCAATCTTGTTCAAGGCCATGTTCTGAACATACACACACGTCTAGAGGCGGAATAACGATGGTAATCTAGTTCTCACATTACATTAAACTAAACACAAGAAAAATCATTTGATGGCTTAACCATTATAAACAAAGCCATATTATAGGGCCTAGTGCCTTTTGCAGGCCTTATGTTTCTTTTGCAGTTTTTGTATTATGAATAAGATCCCCCTCCCACATTTTACTTCTGCAATAATCCACATTCCACATTTTACCATGTCACTCTACAAGCATGAATACTGAAGCCTCTTTGAAGTGATTGGTCCTATTTCTTTTAAGCACTCTAACAAAAAGTAGCACCAAAAATAGCACCATATAAATATGTGCTATTGTACATAAAAAGGGATGTGATGTGAAGCAGGATAATGCAAAAGGAAGTAAAGA